GTACTAAACAACAATAAACCAAACCAATTTACGTGAAAATATATTGTACTTTAACATATGTTCGGGAAATAGTTGGATATTAACAAATACTTGGGAGGCATAAATCAACTCTTAAATTGTTTTAAATATATATAATTCCATATATATAACATTTATTCAGTACATATATATAAAGTCACTGGCCTATTGCAGAATAACACCAGTATAATCTCTGTTGCTCGATACGCTATACGTATATTGTTCTTTTTGTCTCTACACTTCAACACTCCGAATAACAATCTAGAAATTACACCAGTCTTGTTGCTGGTAGCAGGTCATTCCTTCTTCTATGTAGACAGAATTTTAGAAAACTTAATGAGATTGATTTTTTAATTAACCTTACAAATTCGTATAATTAAAGCTCGCCCTTTCTGCTTCAATTGCAGCAGATCAGCAAATTTTCCATATTAAAATGATCACATTAAATTCATTCTTCTGTTCAAAGATGATTAAATCCTTTATACGAAGCAGACCTATAATTTAAATTTAAAGGTTTCCCACAGTCGGGTTTCTCAAACTTTTCCAGTGCTGCCCTCTTTAAGCGTGAACACTCAAAACTCCATCATTTGTCGGGTTACTGAAAATCAGGAGAGAGTAACTACCGTTCTGTGTACACAAATTTACGTCTCTCAGTGTATATTGGGCTGGGTGTGGCTAACGTACCCGAACAATGATCCGTGTGTACATTTCGTTGCTGCAAAAACACGCTCCATACTTTTAGACCGTTGATGCGTTATAAGAGTAATGGTTAAACCTCACTATTCTGTCAGACAAGAATAGCTAGCCAATGAGTTTGCGGTGACAGTTTTTGACTAGCTACTGTTCCCCTAGTCTGTCAGTTCAAAATTAAGAAGGGCTATGCATAGACAGCCCTTGTATAGTTTTCCATGAAAATATGAAACGAGGTAAAACGAGAAAAAAATAAATAGATAAAATAAAAAAACCGCTTTGATTGTATCGCAACCAGACGGCGAATTTGTTTGTTATCAAGCACAAAGCTACACAATAGATTATCTTTGCTTTGCCCAACATGGGTGTCGAAACTCGTTTTTTAGCGTTTTAAGCCGTCAGACTTATTGCTGAATCACTGGGAGCGAGGTTTTGATTATGTTAGTATTTATAAAAACTGGAAAAATTAAGATTTGTTACACGTTTTAAATTCCCAGTCTGAGAACGTCTGCTCTTAATGAAACTCATGGTGCTATTTAACCCCTTTAACTGTAGTCATACTGTCGGTAAAACCCCCCAGTGGCACAGCGGTATGTCTGCGGACTTACAACGCTAGAAACCGGGTTTCGATACCCGTGGTGGGCAGAGCACAGATAGCCCTTGTGTAGCTTTGTGCATAATTAAAAACAAACAAACAAACTGTCGTTAAAAGTTATTCAAACACATAAATTTTAAATTTCAAAACTAACAAATGTGATAATTTATTGATTATTCTAATATGCTATTATTGCTCAACATTTCTGCTCTTTTAATAATAATAATAAAACCTATTTTCCTTGTTTGACCTACATTATTCAAACTTAAATAATGCAATTATGTTCAACAAATAATTAAGAAAATGATGTGACCAAATTCTGTTTTACACTTAAATATAAAAGATTACCAAAATGGGAATACAACCGTGACCCGGGTTACACTTTCGGCCTATTATAACTAAAACAACAGAAATGTGAACCTAATATTTGAAACTTATACAAGCATGTGAATTTTGTGAATTGCTCTTTGGAATACACGGCAAGCTTTAACGATAGTGATGTTATTAGATTGCCATCTAGTGACTAATATTTGTGATATATTATCCTTTCTTAAAATGGAATTGTAGGCAATATTTATAATGTTTCATCTCATATCTCTTAAGTTCCAAATAATAGCGGGAAACCATTTGTAAAAGTTATCAGAAATATATTTACAATAAGTTATTTAGACTAAAAAGGAGATTATTTAAAAACAGCAATTTTGTTGTCAACACCTGGTTTGTATAGTCGATACGATTTTTTTTTAAATATTAATTCTGAAATTAGGCTTTTCAAGAGTTAAAAACAGTTTTTGTATTGCACTGAAGCTTATCACAACTATTAATAAAAGATGTATTCTTGAAAAAACTATAGAATAACTTTATACTTTTAAATTCAGAAGTAAGTCGGGTTTCTATACTCGTGATAGGCAGAGCTTTGCACTTGACAACAGACAATTTCTTCCTGTTTGTCTCTGAGGTTCACTTTTGCCCAAAAAAACACGGTCTGTACTTTGGGAAGGTGGGTACGCTATAAGAGTAATGGTCAAATCTCACAATTTTTTCAGACAGGAGTAACCCAACAGTTCGCGGTGAGTGCTGTTGACTACTGCATTTCCTCTAGTCTACCAGTTTACAGTTAGGGATAGCTATGCGCAGATAGCTCTTTGAGTAGTTAGCGTCATAATTCTAAATAAACAAACACGTTTCTTAAAAACGATCTTTACCAAAACAATAAAAAAACATAAATGCTTTAAAGATTTGAATGTTGAGACTAGGTAAGTAAATTACAAAATCAGTTTACTGTATCATCTTTAGGAGTAATTCTAGGATCTATATTTAAAAGTGAAGCATTTGAAACTAACGTCACTGATTTGGAGCACAGGTGTTTGAGTGCTTTGTATTAAAAAACGATTTTGAATACGCAAATCAGCAAGTCACGTGACGCCAACATCCGATATAAAGTTGTGGTGAAACTACATGTATCAGAATTATATCGTTACAATGCTTATCCTTTCGTACGTTGTGTGATGCCACAAAAATTTATCATTTTTGAGAGGGGTATGTCAACTCTTTCCGACTCAAAATATTCACACACTCAGGTCAAAAAGATGTGTTCAGATTGAAGGTTTATAGTTTTGAAGACGTGCATATCCCTTGCACTTAATGATATTGAAAAGACAGAGATGTGGATCAACCTGGAACCCAGGAACATTGACAATAAAACTAGCAACAAGTCCTACACTAGCCGTTAAAAAAAAAAGAATCATACGGCGTATTGTAGCAAGTGAGAATCCACGAATACAAGGGTATGTGATAAAAGTCGTCCACTTGTCCCAGGCACCAGTACGTGACATACTCTAAAACGATCTCCCTCTAGAAATTCGACACAAATCATGTGTATACATATAGTTTCCATGACATATCCGTTCAACTGTCAAATACCTCAAGCAGATGGAGAATATAAAATGTATTAATGTTATTCCATACGAAGATATGCCAGTCAAGTCGCTAGAGACTGTGCATTTAGATTTCTGTGTGATAAAACTATTGAAACGGGCGCTGGATAACCATGTTTTTTCTACTAGGTGGATTATAGAAAGCCAACAAGGAGCATTGGTGTACTTTGAACATGACAGCTTTACGGTGGAGCTTTTTCCAATGGAAACTATACTGCAGTGCTATTGGTAAGATTTACAGTCGTCAGATAAAGCAGGATCAGACGTGGTGAATATTCAAAATCGTTATGATATTACTTATTCAATCTCTGAAGGTGATCACTTAGGTTTATAATTATATGGTAAATATAATAATTAACATCAAACAGAAGAAAAACAAAAGGTTTAAATAAAAACAAGAATGTCAAAAGCTCAGTCTATTTGTTTCTTTAAAGTTTTCGCACAAAGTTACCTAAAGGGCTATCTAATAATCCAGTCATTATGTTAAAGAGGATATTTAATAGTTTTCAAAAAAAGCTGGCTGATTTGGAAGTATGAGATGAAGATAAACATAAAGTTATACAAGTTTTGGCCCCCTGTGATTCAACAGTAAGTCTGCAGACTCACAACACTAAAATCGAATTTGGACAGAGCACAAACAGCTGACTGTGTACTTTTGGTTGTATTTAACCTATTTAAAAGTGATAGAAATTAAGTCTTAGTTTTAGGTTTCTTTTCATGCACAAATTCTGAATTTTGCAATTCGCTTGAAGAATTAATTTAAAACTAATTTTGTTAGAAACTAGAGGTCGCAACACAAGGTGTGGTAAAATTGCAGTGTGAAAATGGCGTCTATTCCTGTAGATTTAGAGCTAAAAAAGGTAAGTTAGTTTTATTATGTAACAAGTAACGATATAAAACTATGTTGTTTGGGAAACTTAAAACATAATATTTTTAGGGTTTTTTTTGTCGGAATACTGATAGTTAAATAAAAGAAACGCTTTGAGTCTTAAATTTAATTATATTATTCTCGGACCATAGAAACTAGAGACTTAAGTTATACTACTACTAGAATTTATTAGGGCTATGTTCGAAGGTTCTTTCACTAGCCATGAATTTACAGACTGTTCTAAATGTTCGAAGGTTCTTTTACTAGCCATGAATTCAAAGACAGTTCTAAATGTTCGAAGATTCTTTCACTAGCCATGAATTCAGAGACAGTTCTAAATGTTCGAAGGTTCTTTGACTAGCCATGAATTCAAAGACAGAGTTAAAAAAAAAAAAAAATCTAGTAAATGTAGGCATAGTCTACTCTACAATCAGTATTTAGATGTAGATAAGGGATATTCCAACTGTCATTAGAGGAGTTGTATAATGCACTGGTGTAATAAACTTTGGAGCTTGCTGTCCAAAGAAAAAAAAAAACAGGTCTTACAAACTTTGAAAATCAGGGTGTCTGGAGCCTAATTAGGATTGGAATAATTAATTATTACTACTGAGAGGAATTAAAGTTGTAGATAATATGAAACTTGTTTTAAAATTTTGATCTATTTCATTGAATGTGTATTCTGTATTAGGCTTTCCAGGAGTTACAAACGAAAATGGTCGAGACTACACAGAAACTGAAAATGTCTGACATTCAGATTGAGAGTTTAAAGAAAACTATTCAACATGCCAAACTAACAGATAGTGAAATTTTAAGTCTACCAGCAGATACTAGAATGTATCAAGGCTTAGGAAGAACGTAAGTTTTCGACTGGACATTTTACTCAAAGATGCTATATAGCTTATTGCAATAAAATTATAAGTACTTTTACTCTTTGCTTACAAAATAGTATTTCAGTTTTAGTCAGAAGACTTATTTACTAAATATTTTGTATCTGAGGGCAATAATGTTTATTAGTAGTTAGACTGAAATAAAAAAAACCTCTGATCGTCACTAATGTCTTAATGGTATCACATCCTGACAGCACGTAAAGTTGCATATTTCAGTTATGACAGAATAAAAGATGTGATGATCCTTAATAATAAAGAAATTAGAAAACTTTATTGTTTCTGAAGTACCAGAAAAATTAAAAATAATAGTTTGGAACTAGAACATGATTAAACTTTTATTGTTGATGTAATTATTAATAATTGTTGATCAAAAGAAATGAACTTTATGAAACAGAACAAAAATAATCTTAAACTAATTTAAAACCACTGGTTCACAGACCAGTGCCAGTTTGTTATAAGCAACTTGTCCGTCCATAGGATTTCACAAAATATTCACATATAAATTATTATCAACAGAGAGAGAACCTACCTAAAGATTGATTCAACCTGGTCACAACAGAATTTAGTTTTCTGGTGTATTGATTCACAGTATTAAAAATTACTTCTAGTCAGTTTCTTACACAGCAGTTTTTCGATATGAGGGAACAGCTCACTGCCTCCCTAAACTGTCAAGATACAAGAAAAAAACCATAATCCCAATAATATCACCAACATGTTCTAAATCCACACACTAAGTTAACAACCTGAAAAAAATATCAAAAATGGGCAGTTAAATTAAAATATACAATGACAATTAAAGAAATAAAACATAAACATAAAAAACTTTTACTAGAATTTTTGTAAACAGATAGTGGCAGCTAATTGTAAACAAGTAAAGAATATCAAAAGGAAACTTCCTAAATTTTCTCACCTCCACTGACTCTTAGAAGTCACTTACAACTGTCAAATAGCCCATGGCAACAACAGGATGGTTACCTACCTGTTGTCAGGGCGACTTACTTTGGGAACCCTTAACATAAGTGATTTTAACTGATCTGTGCATTTTGTTTATTCCAGTTTCCTCTCTGTAAAATGTCTTTCAGTGGTACTAAGGTTTTGTTGTGATAACTTTTATAATCTCGTGTGTTTATTTGCAGTACTATCGATGATATAATCTTTTTAATTTCTGTTTCTTTTAAGATTTCTACTAACTACTCCCCAAGATATTAAGAAAGATATTGAAGAAAAAATCAAGACATCAGATGAGAAGATTAAGAACTTAGAGGTAACTTTTGCCAGTGTATTATTTACTAGAATATCATTCTTAGCATCATACAATAATTGGATTGAGAACAGCAGAATTTGAAGATCTTTGGTGGCTCACCTAGGATGGCAAACAAAAGTTGAGCACATAAGTAAAACTGTTAGTGTTCTACAGAAAATCACATAATTTACTCTCAATGCTGCCACCATATATGGTCTCATCCTAATAAACCAGTATTACAGTTAATTGTGTTATGATACAAATTACAATGGTGAGCAGGTTATTACAACGGAATAGACGGGTTTGTGGTTACAGAGTGCAAAACTACGCAATAGAGTATCTGCACTGTGCCCATCATAGACCACAGGTACCAAACCTCAAATTTTAGCATTACAATATCTAGAGTTTTACTCTACATTGCTGAATTGGTAACAGTTAATAGTAGATGAGAGTAAACACCATGTACAGTGTATGGGAAATCTGTAGATATGCTTTTCAGAGGTTCTAGAGGTTAAGTAAATACAATGTACAAAGTGTATAATGAACAAAAGTATTTCTTCTTCACATGAAGGTCAACTTGCACTTTGACCTGTAATAGTCTGAGTCAGACTAACATCATCAGTCATATCTCGAGTACAAATATTTCCTTGCACTTTGACTTGTAATAGTCTGAGTCAGACTGACATCATCATCAGTCATATCCTGAGTACAAATACTTCCTTGCACTTTGACCTGTAATAGTCTGAGTCAGGCTGACATCATCAGTCATATCTCGAGTACAAATACTTCCTTGCACTTTGACTTGTAATAGTCTGAGTCAGACTGACATCATCAGTCATATCTCGAGTACAAATACTTCCTTGCACTTTGACTTGTAATAGTCTGAGTCAGACTGACATCATCAGTCATATCTCGAGTACAAATACTTCCTTGCACTTTGACTTGTAATAGTCTGAGTTAGACCGACATCATCAGTTCACAGGCATATCTCGAGTACAAATACTTTTTTTCTAACACATTTTTTTTGTATAACAGACTTGTATTTTTTACTAAGTACTTGCTATATTTCATGAAGATACACATAGTAATGTCTGAATTATAATCAACACTACTTTTTTAATGTGGGCTCAGTTTGTTTGACTGAGTCTGTATATGTTGGGTTAATAAAGTATCCTTTATCTACAATGTTTTTTCTTTCTCTGCTCAGCCAAGAATGCTGAAGTCTTTAATGAAGGGTGTCTGGTTACAGGTTGTTAAAGTGTAGGTAAATATTGGGATTATTTCCATCGTTTGTTTTGAAATGTTCTCTGATTTGCACCGCTAGGTAGCGTACTGTGAAGCATATTTTGTTTACAAATTTACCTGTACCTATTGTAAAAAGGATTATATTGGTTCCTATGAAGGGCATCATTTTGTGGCTTGCAAACATAATGCTACCATTAAAACTTGTAGGCCCTTCTACAAGTATGTATGTTAAAACATTACAAACTGTTGGTGTTATTCTCATGAAGATAATGTTTAGTAGCTTACAAATGTCGCATAACAAAGTTCAAACTTGTAAGTTGTAGGCATAAGAACTTTAATGGACTGTAACTGTCTGTTGAACGAAAAAGAGACAATGTTTCAGCTTTTATACTGAGACGTAAAGAAACATTGTAGGTTTAAGAACTTTAATGGACTGCAACTGCTTGTTGAAAGAAAAGGACATCTTTCAGCTTCTATCCTGAAATTTAAAGGAACATTATCAAATACTTGCAAAATGTGGTTGTTATACATCAGTGAAGGAGATACGCATCAAACTCTTAAGGTGATCTTGTCACAGACTGTGATTTTTTCAAATTGTCAGGGTTTTATTATATATGGGCTTGGATTCTTCTACAGTAGGTGTCTGTGAATTGTTGGCAATAAATTTGAACAATAAACGGACAACATAATCCGCTTGTTTTTAGATATATTTAAAACAAGCCAAACTATGTAAAAAAATTCTTTACACTATAGGATATCACAGTTGTATGTAAAACTAAATAATTCTCTTTTCTTGTCAAAAGTCTACATAGGCTGATTCAATTACTTTAGAATTCAATTGACAAAGTGAACTGTTTTTCTCTGCTCTTATCACAATAGTGTCAGTGAATAATTCACTTAAGCTACACTGGGGGTTACCACAGTTGTATCCTGAACTTTAAATAATTGTCTCCTTTTCATCAAAGTCCATACAGAAAGGTTCAATTACTTCAGAACACCCTTTGAAAAGACAAATTATTCTCATTATCTCTATTAAACTATTTAAAATATTGCCCGTTATGGCTAATCACTCACATGCCGGCTAACCTCACGTTTTCTTTCGCTAACTAATTTTCTAACTGAACTTCACTTGTGCTCACTTAGTTCCCTATATTTAGATGTTGTTCACTGAGGCCTTGAACTTTCTCTGAACTATGAGACGCAATTATTCAACAATATTCAGTTAAGGTAACAAGAAAAATAGCAAAGGTTAGAGTAATGTGATGTCAACAATATTAGTAAAGCCTAGACAACAATGTAATTGCAAGCACAACTTTTGATTTGTACAGAGTTACGTAACAAAATTTGTCACAAATAACACCTTTAAAACAATCCATCTTCAACACTCCTGTCTTCAAAGCTAAACAATCATTAAATATTAAGTCACAAAATAAACTAAATAATAACACTAACACTAAGCAGTCTTTTATATCCAACAATAAGCCTCTCTTCAAGAAAAATATTTACAATGCTAGAAACCGGGTTTTGATACCCGTGGGCAGAGCACAGATAGCCCATTGTGTAGCTTTGTGCTTAAATTCAAAGAAACAAACAAGTTTTCTCATATAGTCTATACCAACATTTACAGTTCCTTTCTTGGTCTCTCCTCATGTAGGGCTTCACCTTGACAGGATCTCTTGTCTTCGTCTTGATCTTGGGTTGCCTGAGGTCTCTCTTTCCTAATCTATCTGTATACTAACACTGTAGATTTTGTACCTCTTTCTTCTTCGTGTCAGCCATTTCTTCACTTAAGTTGACATCGTTGGACATCTCATCTCCAACCAGTGGTCTTAGGCCTAGTGGGTATTTATCTTTTATAAGAAAGTCACTGTCTTTATATTCTGCTTCTATGACAGTTACACCTGCCATGTCCATTTGTACCTCAATAGCTGCACCCATAAGGTCTTCTTCTCTCTCGAAGTATCTCTTCAACAGATTGGCATGGTAGACCTTGGTCTTCCCATTCACTTTCATATTATAGTGCATTCTGTTGACCACTTCCTGTGCTGCAAAAGGTCCTTTCCACTGCTGGGTGAGTTTGTTGTTGACTGTGGATAGCATAACTAAGACCTTCTGTCTGACCTTGAAATGTCAATCCTTATCCTTCTTGTTATAGAAGTGTTTCTGACTGTCTTTGATGGGTTTAGCTTCCCCAGTAGAACTGCTTTGATAGGTCCAGTTCAGTATTCCTTTCTGGTTCTCTGTTTTGTAAATCTATTTCTTCTTTGTCTTGTGCTCTACTTTCTCTTGGGCACTGTCCCAAAGTTTCTGTAGAGAAGGGTCTTTCTTCTGCACTTTCTTCAGCTCCTATGAACTTACACTTTTCGAGACTTTAAGACCTTGATATCTTGCTTGCTCTTTTTTCCCTTGAGCTATTGTGGTGACTGCAGTTGCTTCAACAGTCTTCTTTTTTTTTGTCTAGTTACTCCAAATTCTTACTACCTGACATGTTTGCAATCACCAAGTTTTATATTGGTTCCTTGATACACATGACTTCAAGGTCTCGTACATAATATGGAGTATCCACCTTTATTTTTATTATGGGAAACTTTCTCACTGTCCCATCAACTAGCACACACAGAGGCATGCCTTGCCCATCATCTGATCATCGGATACTAGACTGTTCTCACTGCTGCACTCAGCATATCGTAGAACCTTCACTTTCTTCTCTTTGACATAGCCTTTGCATTTGGCATGTTATGATTTGTTGGCACCTCTAAATATTTGTAACTTGCTCTGATCACTGTTGGCACTGTTGATCCATTAGCTAACTTTAGCCGACCATTAGTCGTGCACTGATCAATCATATAAATGGTACTTCCTTCTTGTGGTGAATCTGGCATGTTTTCTTGGTTCTGTTTGTTCTGACAGCAGCATCCAAGATGTCAGTCACTCTTTTCTTGTTTCTTGCCAGCACCATCTTTGCAGGTAGCTCCAGCTGCTTTATGTTGAGATTTCTGCTGTAGTTTGCTGGTAATGGACTTGCACTCCTTTGCAGTGTGCCCTGTTTTATAACAATATAATATCTCTTCTCCCATTTGTCTGTTAATCTCCTGTCACCTTTGGTAGACTCCTATTCCTGGTCAGCCATCACTGGTTTTGATTTTCATTGATTACTCTTGGACTAGCTAGTTATACTACCTCCATGAGCCATATACTGTTCTGTCAGCTTGATAATCTCCTGTCACCTTTGGTAGACTTCTATTCCTGGTCAGCCATCACTAGTTTTGATTTTTATTGATTACACTTGGACTAGCTAGTTATACTACCTCCATGAGCCATATACTGTTCTGCCAGCTTGATAATCTCCTCCATGTCTTTTGGTGCTCTCTTCTTTAGGAACACTGACGTGAGTTGAACACGTGATCATGAACTGTTCACGTATTAGTAGATCTGCCAGTCCCTCAAAACTATTTTCACACTTTGCCATGTCAGTCCATCTTGTGAAGTAATGCTGTACACATTCCACAAACTGAAATACAGTTTCTCCATTGTCAGGTTTGACTTCTCTGAACTTCTGATGAAAGCCTTCTTCGGTAATTTCGTATTGTTTCAGCAAAGCCACTTTTAACTTGTCATGGTCCATGGCACCTTCTGGCATCATGCCAGCATATACTTGTAGGTCTTTTCCTGTGAGAAGTGGGCTGAGACAGACTGCCCAGTTGCTTTTGTCCCAATTTTGACTTTCAGCGAATCTTTTATATCTCTCCAGGAAAGCATCCATGTCATCTTTCTGTTCATCAAATTTGGGTAGCTTGGGTTGGCTGACTCTGACCCCATTGTCATTCTTGGGTCCTTTTTCTTTCTATTGGGTGAGCTGGACGATCTCAATT